TGGCCTTGGCCGTGGCTGAGGCGCGGGGGCAGGGCCGCGGAGAGGGGCGCCCTGCGCGCTGGCACCTGGAGTCCCTGTAGGAAGGCGAGGCAGCACCCGCACCGCCGCGTGGGCCCCGCCTTCAGGGACGCCTTGAAACGCCAGAACCGCCGGGCCTGCCCCGTCGTGCTCGCGGGCGCCCGCGGAGCCCCGAACGGACCGAGTCAGCATGTGAAGAGCCGCGAGAGGGGGCGTGGAGGCGCGGGCTGCCCCGCCGTCTTGGGCGGTGACCGTGCGCAGGAGACACCTGGGGACCCAGACGCTGCCCCCGGCGTCACTGCCGCTGTGGTGACAAAAGCGGTGAGGGCCCCGGAAAGCCGCCGGGACGGGGTGGGACGCCCAGGGGTGCAGAGACTCTGGGCACACGTGCTTTTGCCTAACCTGAGGCATCTCTAAAGAGCAGGAGCGGGGCTTTGCAAACCAATTCATGGGTGTAGACTCGCAGGGCACAACGCAGTCCCTGGCACGCATTAAGTCGCGTTTAATGAAAGTCTCCGGAGCGCCTGGATGCCGCGTGCTCTGTGTAGACGCGGCGTGAAGGACCAAGTGTGCTTCCTGTCCTGCTTATGGTCTCTCCTGCGCGGGGCCCAGCGGAGCCCAGGTTTTCCACTCCCGGTTACTAATTTTGAAACACAGCTGTTGAGTAGCGTCTTACTATCTGCTTAACATACTTATTTTACGTTTCTTTCTTATCTTTTTAAACTCCAAGGTAAGCACGATCTGAAATAATTAAAATTATTATCTTCTTGCTCAATTAGGGTGACTTTAACACAAGACAACTCTGGTATAGTTTTTAGATTAAGTTATAAATGTTCACTTTAGAACTACCTGAAGATTGATAGAGATGCATTTGAAAAGCATTATTTTTTTATTGATTCTTAATGTAGTAAATTACTGAAGTTATTTGGCAGCAAACAGAAATGGCCTGTGGCGCAGTTCACATTTATTCTCCCGGCAGCGCCACAATTTGCATTAATTGCATTGCGACTGCACTCACTTATATTAAAAGGCTTCTACTATAATTAATCCTTTTTATTTCAAATCATTCTGGCACAATCTCTAGCTATAAACACTCATAAAAGACAGACAGTTGAAAAATACGCTACAGGTTTTTTCCATATACCTATAGCAGTTTTTTCCGTGACAAGTAGTTATTGATGTGCTTCTGGAACAAGTGTGGTGGGACTGGCTGAGGAGTGAGGCCCGTGTGAAAAATGCTAAGTGGATTATTTTGCATAAAAAATAGGCAGTTTTGAAATTGTATAATTAACCTGTGTTTAGAAAATACCTTGATTTATGCTTACATTTGTATCTCAGTTGCATACATTATGGAAATTTAATTTATAATCCATTTAGCTGATGCAATCATGGTTTTTAGTGCTATCATTTATTAGTGCTTGTATATTAAATGCTCTAAAGGTTTAAACCTGCCTTATGTAAAAAATTATACCTAGGCATTTACATTTTATGAGTCACAGTGGGATTTCTGCTTAAAATTCAGGTAGCTCTGATATATTTAACGAATTTCACTGGTTTATTGTTACTAATGCAGAAATGGCAAACAATGACCTTATATATTGAACATCAAATGATTTACACTTCCAGTTTACTTTAAAGTCCACTGTACAAATGAGGCTTTTCTTCAACACCTGGAATCAATCATGTTGTCTTGTGCAGAATGTTCTCCTTGGCTTTGAAGTCATCATTCATTTAGAAGTAATGGGAGTTTTAAGTGCTGCAGGTTAATAGTATTAGCCATTCTTAACTTTAAGCAAACTGTGGCTTTTCAGAACAACTCTCTCTTTGCGATACCAGTAGACAAGTTAAGTGCCAGTTGCCATATTACTGCCCATTCGCTCGTTCCAGAGTCCTTTTTTGCCACGTGTTTTCAGAATTAATTGGGTAATCATTAGTCTTCAAATCAGAAGTAAAAGCTCAGGGACATAACCCTTCAGTTTCCCTGGCAGAGAACATCTGGAGTCTTAGCTGCCGGGGGGAACATTATGAAATAGGTGGTTAGCAGATGGTGACCTGAAGTCCTTAGACACGGTGACCTTGGGGAGCATGTCACTCCTGTTGTTGGCCGGTGAGAAGCCAGCGCACTCTGGATGTTTCCTCTCAGGGGGATGTTTCCTGGCTACCTTCCAGTTCCTTCCAGTCATGTTAGTGGGCGAGACTTAAAGTGTTCGTCTCAAGGTGAACCTGAGCATATTCTCCGGTGGGGGAGGAAAGGGGGGCACTCGTATGAGAGTTCAGTTTTTGGGGTGTTCAGAGACCAGTGGGTTTATGGACGGCCACTGTTTATTGTTGCTGGTGCCGAAGTGGGGGACCCTGGATGGGAAACAGCTGATGGGACACTGTAACGGTGCTGAAGCCATAAGGGAAGGGCTCCCGTAAGCCAAGCTGATGGATGGCATCAGGCTGGGAGGTTGGGGGGGCAGAGCCCCCTGCTCTCTGAACACTGGTGGCCTTGTGTGCGCGAACTCACACAGGTGTGTCTCACCAAAGCCTCGTTCCCATACCTGGTGCGTGTGGCTGTGGTCAGGTCATGGCCTCCTGGCAGAGGGGCTGCTGAAGCTGGGCATGGTGGCCTTCAGATTTCCCGGGATTAACGTTCGCATTGATGTTGATGTTCCCTGAGTCGCGTGGTGGCACTGGAATCTTCCAACAGCGGCTTAAAAGAAAAGCGGTGAATTCATTGCAGCATAGCTCACACCCTGCAGCTCATGCAGCACTCTCCAAAGTGGGGCTCCCGCCTGTCCTCCTGGCCTCACCCCATCTTAGGGTCTCAGGTGAGGGTCCCAGGGTTTGTGACTGTGTGTGCCGAGCCTCTGCCTCCAGCTCCCCACCTCCCGAGTGGGGGTGGGGACCCCTCTCATCCCAGCAGGTCCCCACAGACCACGAGTATGCTAGCCTTTGTCATGGAGATCCAGACTCCCCTGGACTTCTGTGTAAGCCGCCTTCCCGACGGGCCAGGTGGAAACGAGGCCGGCATCTGTACGCGCTCGCTTAGTCTCAGGAGAATATTCGTGATGAGACTTTGGCGGCTTCAAGTCTCTCATCTGTTAGAATAACATAATAAGAATGTGTCTTATTCCTTGTTGTGTTTTGCACCCTTGGACCATAGTAATATTTATCCTGCAAGATGAACCCTGACGTCATGTTGGAAAACCCACACCGTCTTTTGGTAGAGAGTCTGGGGGTTAATATAGTGATGGCCCCACCACTGCTCATCAGGGAGATGCCGATTAAAACCACAGTGAAATCCCCCATTGCACCAACCGGGATAGCTCAACTTAAAAATACTGAGTGTACCAATAATCGGTGAGGTCCTGGACCAGCCAGAACCTTCCTGCATTTCTGGTCATGGTGGGGAAACGGTTGCATTTTGGAAAACAGCCTGTCATTGCCTAACAGAGCTAACCGCACCTTGCGGCCCAGAGCTCCCCATTAGCAGGTCCCAGGAAAGGCCGGCATAGGCCCGCAGAAGGGTTCCCCCAGGTGCCGCCACCCCAAATGGGCAACAGCCCCCGTGTCTACGCGGGTCTGTCATCAGGCCATTGGGCAGAAGTGTCACACGGCCATAAGCGAAAGAGCAGTAGCGTAGCCGAGTCTCGGAAACAAGCTTTGGTGAGAAGGTGTGTGGAGGAGAGCGCGTGCCGTAAACTCCCTCTGGGGAAGCCCTGGGACCGGCAGCCCTGGGCCGTGGTGATGCCCACAGAATAGGGTGACAGGAGGGGACTCTCATGGGGGCCTGGGGGAAGGGGAATGTTCTGTGTCTTGACCCGAGTGACACGGGTATAATCAGATGTAATAGTTCATCAAGCTGTACGTTTATCTTAACCGTGTGTAAATTATCCCTTAATGCAAGTGAGTATTAAGTACAGTTACACGTTGCTGTCCTCAGACACAGAGGCAGAGGAGCCTGCGCAGCAGAGAAGCCCTCCGTGGGCCTCAGGGCGTCTGGTTTGGCACCAGCTCTGCCACCTGCCAACTCACAGAGTCCGCACAGCTGTCTCCGGGTGCCAGGGCTCCGGCTCTTCGTGTGAGAACAGGGCTCAGCAGACTGCAGCCTGTGAGCCGGGCCCAGCCTGCTGCCTGTCGCGGGGCCCACGTGCTCCGAAGGCTTTTTCCTTTTGGCGGCCAAGAAATGTACAAAATAGTATTTCTTGACATTGGGATTTACTTGAAATGCAGCCTCGGTACCCAGCTGCCCTCACGTGTCTACACTCCGTCTGTGTGCCTTTCTGCTACCGAGGCAGAGTGGAGGGCTGGCCACCCAGCCGGTCTGGCCTGCTTGCGTGTGTTGAATTGTGGCCCCAGAAAAGTTGAGGCGCCACCCTGATCCCCAGCACCTGTGACCCCGACCTCACTTGCATGTGCAGTCAAGCTAGGAGGGGTCACACTGGGTTAGAGTGGGTCCCCAAACCCAGTGACGGTCAGTTTATCATAGTGACAGGAGAGGGAGATGCAGACACACACAGGGACGAAGAGGCAGAGTTAGGAGTTAGGAGTGGCGCAGCCAGGAGCCCCGGGCCACCGGCCATGGCCAGCAGTACCAGAAGAGACAGGAAGCCTTTTGAGCGTGCGTCACACTCCCGGCCCGCACGACCAGGGGACTCGCGTGCCCGCAAGGCGCTTTGCAGCAAACATGTGCTGCCTCTGGCTGCACGGCACACGTGGCTCTTGAACACCCCCTGGGCGTGAACGCTCTGCGGTTCAGCCCTCAGGTGCTTTAGAACTTGGGACACGCTGAGTGCACTGGGCGGATGGTTCCGCTGGCCCGGCACGTGTACGTGCTCCCCACACACTCGCCTCCGCCGTGGTCACCGTTACAAAGAGAAGGCACCTGCCCTCTTAGGATTCTGTTCAGCGTCCAGTTGGACTTTTTCTTTATTTGCGGGAAGCGTGACAGAGGGCTCCTGTGCGGTACTGACCCTGTCCCCTGTGCTCCTCTGAAGGCTCTCTATGAGAATATGCTGGTAGAACTGCCCTTTGCCGGCTTCTTCCTGTCCAAACTGCTGGGGACCAGCGCCGACGTGGACATTCACCACCTGGCTTCGCTAGACCCCGAAGTGTACAAGAACCTGCTGTTCCTCAAGAGCTACGACGGCGACGTGGAGGAGCTTGGGCTGAACTTCACGGTGGTGAACAACGACCTGGGAGAGGCACAGGTGAGGAGGCCCTCGCCGTGCGTTACCGACGCCGGCCCCTGTCCACGCGGCCATGGGCAGGGTCTCCTGTTGTGGGGAGACGCTTCATGTTTCGGGGGGAGAATTGCCATGGCTGAGGGTTAGAGGTGGGGAGGGTGTGGACGCCGGGGACACACGAGCCCTCGCCCCAGTCCCTCTGACCGCTGTCCTCTGGGACTGTCTTCCTGGGCTGGGGGTTAACCCCGGCCTCTTGTCCGGCTCTCGGTCCCTGGGGTGGCGGGTTAGCGCCTTCCCCACAGGATCCGCAGGGGCCTCAGTGCGCCTCCGTTCCTGCCCACCCACAGTGGGGGCCTCGGTTGCTCGGACACAATTGCCGGCCTTCGTGGTCGGTCCCATTGGTCTTGCTGTCTTTATCTTTTTTATTAAAAAAGGTTTTTAAAATAATTTATTTGTTTCTAAATTTACATCCAAGTTACTTAACATATAGTGCAGCAATGATTTCATGAGTAGGTTCCCTAATGCCCCTTACCTATTTAGCCCACCCACCCCCCAAAACCCCTCCAGTAACTCTGTTCTCTATATTTAAGAGTCTCTTATGTTTTATTCCCCTCCCTGTTTTTATATTATTTTTGGTTCCCTTCCCTTATGTTCATCTGTTTTGTGTCTTAAAGTTCTCATATGAGTGAAGTCATATATTTGTTTTTCTCTAATTTCGCTTAACATGATACCCTGTAGTTCCATACACATGGTTGCAAATGCCAAGATTTAATTCTTTTTGATTGCCGAGTAATACTCCATTGTATACTTGTACCACATCTTCTTTATCCGTTCATCTATCGATGGACATTTGGGCTCTTTCCATACTTTGCCTATTGTTGATAGTGCTGCTATACACATTGGGGTGCATGCGTCCCTTGGAAATAGCACACCTGTATCCCTTGGATAAATACCTAGCAGTGCAATTGCTGGGCCGTAGGGTAGTTCTATTTGTCATTTTTTGAGGAATCTCCACACTGGTTTCCAGAGTGGCCGCACCAGTTTGCATTCCCACCAGCACAAGAGTTCCTCTTTCTCCACATCGTCGCCAACATCTGTTGTGGCCTGAGTTGTTGATGTTGGCCATTCTGACAGGTGTGAGGTGGTATCTCATTGTGGTTTTCATTTGTATTTCCCTGATGATGAGTGATGTTGAGCATTTTTTCATGTGTCAGTTGGTCATCTGGATGTCTTCTCTGGAGAAATGTCTATTCATATCTTTTGCTCATTTCTTCACTAGATTATTTGTTTTTTGAGTGTTGAGTTTGATAAGTTCTTTATAGATTTTGGATGCTAACCCTTTATCTGATATGTCGTTTGCAAGTATCTTCTCCCATTCCATCAGTTGCCTTTTAGTTGTGCTGATTGTCTGTCTTTATCTTTAAAAATAAACAAAAAACCACTGCATGTCAGAGATTGAAACTAATTTCAAATGATAGCATTATCGGGATATAACATACATACCATAAAATGCACACTTTCGAGTACAGTGTGGGTCAGTGTACCCCCCGGGGTGCGCCGCCGTCACCAGCAGCTAAATTCGGGATGGTTTCGTCTCCCCAGAGAGACTGTGCCCTTTAACAGTCACTCCTGCCCAGGCGGGGTGAGCGCCATCTGCATTCTGTCTTTGGACACAGCGTGTGACTGGGGCCCTACAGCCTGTGGCCTCGTGTGACCGGCTTCATTCACTTGTTGCAGGAACCAGTGCTTTACTTTGTGTTCTGGCTGAGTGTCGCCCCGCTCTATGTCTGTGCTGCGTTTTCTTCTCAGTTGAGGGACGTTTGGGTTATTTCCACTTTTCAGCTATTGTAATAATACCACTCTGACCACGCACGGACAGCCTACCAGACGGTGGAAGAATCGATAACATCTGGAATTTGCTTCTGGCATTATGAGAGCAGGGGCAGCGGTGGGCGTGGAGATGACCCAGACTGGCCAGGAGGCGGCACTTGCAGTAATGGGAGGTGGGGGTGCGGACGCACGTCTGCCGTTTTGCCTCCTTTGGCCCATGTTCGCACGTTCCCCAGAATTTACAAAACCTTTTTTTTTTTTTTTTTAATTTTTTTTAATGTTTTATTTATTTCTAGGAGAGAAGAGAGAGAGACAGCGTGAGCAGGGGAGGGTCAGAGAGAGAGGGAGTGACAGACTGAAACAGGCTCCAGGCTCTGAGCTGGCAGTCAGCACAGAGCCCGACGCGGGGCTCGAACCCACGAACCGCGAGATCATGACCGAAGTGAAAGTCGGACGCTTAACCGACTAAGCCACCCAGGTGCCCCCAAAACCTTTTTAATCTACACAGACAAATCAAATTGTTTGAGGACCTTTGAAGTCATACTTGTCGACCTCTCATTTTATTAGATTTTAACTAACCAGCTTTGCTTTTCTAAATTATTTTTGGTTTTCAGACAGATATGCCTCTTCTATGGAGAAAGACCACTTTTCTGCTGTTCTTACATAGATCATCCCATCTTCTGAATCTAGTAGCTGTGTTTAATACAAAACTGTCATCACCTTTGAACTTCGTAATCGTTTCTCTAAATTTCTGTTATTACTTGGTTGCTAATTGAGGCTTTCCAAGGTCATCGGCTTTGCCAGCTCAGAAGTCGCTTCATAGCAAATAGATACTTAGTGTTTAGTGAAATCCCCGCTGAAGCTGCGTGGACACGTCCAGGGCGCTCGTCAACCTGACCCTCCGGGTGTGAGCGCTCACGCTCCGTTCTCACAAACACGTGTATGGAGCACATGTGCGCTAACGTCGTTTGGTTGTTTGTATCCCGTTGCTGCCGTGCCCAGTCCGTAGGTCCTCATGACGGGGCGTTAACGGCACTGTGCGACGCACAGACGTGATGTGTAAACTGGGAGAGCACATGCGTTCTAACCAGGGAGGCAGACCCCCACACGCCAGTGAGATAGCAGCAGCTCAGCTCCGAGTGGGTCAGGGAGAGCTTCCTGGAAGAGACGCTGGCCGGGGGGAAAGGCCTTCACCGGGCAGGTGAGCACGTGTAGGAGTGGGGGGTGCACGAGAGCAGGCGCACAGGTGCGGGGAGGCGGAGCTTCGGGCCTCTGCGGAGAGCACTTTGAGGCCTTGGGCTTTAGGACGCATAAACCCAGGCTCAGAGAGAGAACCCGCGTGTCCGTCGTCGCTGGTTCATGGTATTTCGGGGCGTCGGGGTGCGATGCCTAGACAGGCACGTTTCAGAGCCAGTCGGAGAGTGAATGACAAGGGGACACTCGGGGGGCACCTGGCCGCTTCCAACCACGGAGTGTGCGACTCTTGATCCTGGGGTTTGGGTTCGAGCACCCCTGTTGGGTGTAGAGATTACTTTAAAAAATAAAATCTTTTAAAAAGGAAAGAAAGAAAAGAAAAAAGAAAACACGTGAGGCTCCTTTCAGATGAACCTGAGATTTTGATTCTGTAAGTCAGGGCGGGACCGGGAAGCAGCTGCCTGCCGTCGGGTCAGGTGGTTCCAGAATTCAGAGAAACCAAACTTGGGGGTTAAGCAAGGAAACAAGTTTTAATGAGAAAACGCCAGTGTAATCTTCATTTTAAAAATTACGTCCTCAAGGCACCCGGGGGCTCAGTCAGTCAAGCGTCCGACTCCTGATCTCGGCTCAGGTCATGATGTCACAGTTGGTGAGTTTGAGCCCTGAGTCGGGCTCCACGCTGTCAGCAGGGAGCCTGCTGGGAATTCTCTCTCTCTCTCTCCGCTCCTCCCCTGCTCGCACTCACCAGTGCTCTTACTCTGAAAATAAATAAATTTTTAAAAAATAAAATAAGAGCGCCTGGGTGGCTCAGTCGGTTAAGCGACCGACTTCGGCTCAGGTCATGATCTCATGGTTTGTGTGCATCGGGCTCTGTGCTGACAGCTCAGAGCCTGAAGGCTGTTTCAGATCCTGTGTCTCCCTCTCTCTCTGACCCTCCCCTGCTCGTGCTGTCTCTATCTCTCTCTCTCTGTCTCTCAGAAATAAATAAAACGTTAAAAATAGATAGATAGATAGATAGATAGATAGATAAAATTACAATCTATAGGTATCTTGCACGAAGTAGACTTTACTGAGTCAGAGGAGGGTGGGGCGGGCAGGACATGGTTGCACTAGAGCCCCGGCCCCCACGCCCATGTCCGGTGCCCATCATTCTCTTCTGGGTCTGACGGCAGCAAGGCCCTCATACAACTGGAGTCACCCAGTGTTGGTCGTTCTGTGACAGGTTTATGTCACTGAGCATGGTGTCCCCCAGGGCCACCTGTACTGCGGCAGGTGTCAGGACTCCTTCCTCTTTACAACTGACGCTGCATCTCACATATGGGTCCCATCCATCCGCTCATCGCGCAGTGCATAGCAGAGTTGTCTCCGCATCGCCAGCAAGCATGCCACGCACGCTGCCCTACAGGTGTCCATTCACATCCCCGCGGCGCCTTCCCATAGGTCACAGCTAGAGGCGGCTTGCGGGTTCCTACAGACATTCCCGGGCCCACCTTTCTGAGCACCTGCAGAACGTCACCACACAGAGGTCCTGACCCTGCCACACGCTTGCCAGCACGTGCTTTCTGCCTTCTCTCTCTCTCTCTCTCTCTGTCCCTCCCTCTTTTAACAAAGGATAGCAGCCATCGTACTGGGTGTGAAGGGCTGTTTCACTTGCTGTTGTGGTTCGCAGTGCCGTGTGAGTCCCGGCAGCTCTCTGGGAAAGTTGTGAGAGTGCAGATCTTGGTTGGCTCCCGCCCTGGGCTGCAGGATGTGCTCGGTTGCGACACCGCAGTGGTGTCTTCAAAACGAAGATTAAAAGCACATGCAGAGATTAATGCATCCTGCTGTTTAAACTCTGGGTATTTTTAAATGTCTTTGTGGTACTTGAATTTTAGTCTATTTCTTAGCCTTTACGTAGCTGTGTATTTAAGAAATAGCTGTGGATTAAATGCTAAGTGGAAACAAAGGAGACAGTCGTGTCCGAGGCCACCTGCCTCCGTCTCTTACGTGGTCACCTCCAGGCAGTCTTGAAAACTAACATCAGGGCGCCTGGCAGCTCAGTCGGAGGAGCGAGCAACTCTTGATCTCGGGGTTGTAGGTTCAAGCCCCGTGTTGCGTATGAGATTATTTTACAATAAATCTTCAAAAAAGAAAGAAAGAAAAAAGACCAGTAACTCCAACACTGTGCGATAGAGGAGTACAGAACCATATTTCCTTTGGTTACATCTTACTTAGTTGCTTTGTTTCAACCTCTTTTTCCATTTTATTTTATGTTATGTTATTTTAATGTTTATTTATTCTGAAGGAGAGAGCAAGCCACCACCAGCTGGGAAGGAGGGGCATGGGGGGTGGAGAGAGAATCCCAAGCAGGTTCCGCACTGTCAATGCAGAGCCCAACACAGGGCTTGAACTCATGAACTGTGAGACCCTGACCTGGGCTGCAGTGAAGAGTCAGACACTTAACCGACTGAGCCCCCAGGCGCCTCTCTTCTTCCATTTTATAGACCTGAAGGTTCAACCTGCAAAATTCAGATTTTTCTAAAGATGAGGTTTATTAGTGGCATCAGGAAACTTCAAACATACAGATCGCGATGCTACTGTCGCCTCCCTGCACCTGGTGGCATGATTTAAAAACGAAATAAAAGCGCTCGGGCAGTCGGTTTTATAATGACCTGTCCATGGCCTTTGCTAATGGGAGTATTTCCCATTTTTCCTTCAGAAATAGATGGTAATAGCGAAATGTCGCAGATGTAAGAGTTCCATTAAAGCACCACTGATAATATTGGAATCTATTAAAAGCAAAAGTGTGAAGTTAAGATCTTCCAATTATTCATAGAAATCTCCACTGGATAAAGAGATTATAGATGACAGTGCTTAAGAATAATTGTACTAAAGAGTCAAATAAGAAAAATTTAGAAAGTCGCTGGTAAAGCAGCTAATTTGTGGGGATCTTGTGGATTTCCACAGAGATGAGTGGAAAAACGTATTCCTCATACAGGTTTCGGTTTATGAGAAAGATACTAAGAGCTAAGGATTTGTAATATGCAAATTCTTCATTATGGTGGCAGGTGATGTTAATTCATCTCCCCGTTTTAAAACGGAAGTGCTCCGGGGCGCTTGGGGGCCTCACTCGGTTAAGTGTCCGACTTCGGCTCAGGTCAGGATCTCGCTGCTCATGGGTTCGAGCCCCGCATTGGGCTCTGTGCTGGCAGCTCAGAGCCTGGAGCTGCTTCAGATTCTGTGTCTTCCTCTCCCTGCCCCTCCCCTGCTCACAATGTCTCCCTCTCTCTCCCTCTCTCAGAAATAAATAAAACATTAAAAAAAAAAATGAAGGTGCTCCTCCCCTTGTTTTTCCTTGGGTAGAATCAGAACACCGCTCGTCAGCCCGCTTAGGCGAGCCCGTGCTCATGTGTGCACGCAGTTCTCCTAAGGAGCGCTTGGCTGAACGTGGGCCCATCAGGGGTCGTCTGTAATGTGGGAGCCTGTGAACTTGAGTCATGGGACCTCGTTCAAGCTTTGGGTTTGTGGCCCAGCTGTGACCTTGGGCAAGTCCTAGAAGCTCTTCCTCACCTCCAGAGGGTGCGCCCTCTGCACTGAGGATAAAATGAGCCCGCTCCCGGGTGTGAGCAAGCGAGTGAGGCCCCACGCACCTGGGCGTGCCGTTGAACACAGACACTCAGAAGGGAGCTTGCTCTAAGCTGCTCTGGCGCCATGAGGAAAGCTCTAAATCTGCCCTCAAAACTGAAGTCCTGGCACAGGTTGGACACGATCTGAAACGTGGGTAGTTGTGTAGATGTGGCCAGATGCCCACAGCATGACCGTGTGGAGTCACTGAAGGGTCTTTGCCGTCCGATGAGGCAGGGCCGGACCTGTGGGCTTTGTGATGAGCTCACGGGATGGTAACAGGTTGTTCAGTTTGCATACGTAAGAAACACACTGGTCTGTTATCTCTAATGTTGCCGCTGTCCTCTGAGTCACTGTTACAGTGCATCAGGGGCGCCCAGCCGGCTCAGTCAGTGGAGCGTGCGACTCTTTATCTTGGGGTTATAGGTTCGAGCCCCACATTGGTGTAGAGATTACTTAAAAATACAATTTAAAAAATAAACTATTTCATAATAGTAACAACATGATGGAGATACAGAGAGAGGAATGTGCCATGTGTACAAATATGAGTAGTTATTCTACTACACCCTTCATTCCTTAAGCTGTATTTTCTCCAGATTGAATCCCTTTGGATTTAAGTTCATTTTTTGGTTCCTCCCTTTGCCCTTTGTGATTCTTAATTTTTGAAGACAAAGTTGCCGCGATCACATTGTCAGTCATCCCTTAGTGCTTTGCAGGAAGCATTGGTGGTTCATGGTCTGAAAGACAGAATGAGATGCCAGGCTTCAGGGAGTCCCACGGGAGTCCCACGAACGTCTCTGCGCTGACACGGACTGGGGCGCTCCAGGCACCCCACGTCTATTCTCTCGTACGCGGCGGCACCGGCAAGCATCTCTGAGGAGGTGATTTCTTGCGTGTGATTTACTCTAGCCACACTCGGAATTCTCAGCCCCTGGTGTCCCATCCGCAGGTGGTTGAGCTAAAGTCTGGTGGCAAGGACATCCCCGTCACCAGTGCCAACAGGATCGCGTACATCCACCTCGTGGCTGACTACAGGCTGAACCGGCAGATCCGCCAGCACTGCCTGGCTTTCCGGCAGGGCCTGGCCAACGTGCTGAACCTGGAGTGGCTGCGGATGTTCGACCAGCAGGAGATCCAGGTACTTCCACTGCCGCGGGCGCCACTCCCGTCTCGTGCCGCCAGAGAGCGTTCTCAAGGTCTGTCTCACGTTTTACTGAGTGGTCTCTTGTTTTTGCAGGTATTAATTTCTGGTGCACAAGTTCCCATAAGTCTCGAGGACCTAAAATCCTTTACGAACTATTCAGGTATGTTGACAGTACTGGTGATTTATTACTGAAAATGTTAGAGATGATATTTCCAAACTTATTTTTAAAATATTTGTTTATTTTTGAGAGAGAGCGCATGAGCAGGAGAGCAACAGAGAGTGAGACAGGGTGTGAACAGGGGAGGGTCAGAGAGAGAGGGAGACACAGAATCTGAAACAGGCTCCAGGCTCTGAGCTGTCAGCACAGAGCCTGACGCGGGGCTCGAACCCACTGACCCTGAGATCATGACCTGAGCTGAAGTCGGACAGTTAACCAGCTGACCCCCCACATGCCCCAGTTTACTTTATTAAACTTAAAAGTTTCCGCTCTTCAAGAAAATGAAAAACCAAAAAGAAGATACACAGATGGCCAATGAGCACATAGAAAGATGTGCAGAAGCATTAGTTGTCAGAGAAATAATAAATTAGAGCCATAATGAGACTGTTCAAAGATCAAATTGGTCTATCTTTTGGGTATTTGTAAGTTTTTTTAAATTAACTTCATGTATACGTAGAACAGTGAAAAGAGAAAAAAAAATCCTTAAAACAATCATTGTTATTTTGGTGAGTTTTACTTAATCATCGTATATTATTCTAGTTGGTAGTGATGCATCATTTATAGTATCCATTTTGTTTGTTTAGCATCAGAAATAAAAAATAATTCCAAGCTATTATCTTCTTGCAATTATTTTTTGAACTTAAATAGATATATATGATTTATCTAACCCCCCACTGTAATAAAAAACTTTGTGCATATTTTTCTGTTTTTAATGAGCGAAACCCAGAAGTTACATTGCTAATTGAAGGGTATGAAGATTTGGGGGGATGAAATTAGAACATATAGGGTGCACGGGGAAATGTGGCAAATGAGGAAGTGGCACACGTTTTTTACTTTAGTTAAGGATAATTCTACCCTTCCAGTCTTTCTTCTCATCTGTGGAAAACTCTCCAAATCTAAAATACAGAGTATAAAAACCCACAGTTGTGAGCCATTGATCCCTGTCTTTATTATGTGAATGGACATTTATTTTATTGATTTGTTTATTGAGTTTTAAGTAGGTTTCACACCCAAAGTGGGTGTAGAGACTACTTAAAAAATGCATATATAATATTTGAAAAGATTTTCTTTATCGTAGGACATTTAAAATACAGGCTTATATACACCTGGTGACAAAACCATGCACGCCACGCAGCACCGCATCTTTACAGATGAGATTGAGTAAGATGTGAGCAGAAACTTTCAGTGGTTGTGAGATGATTGGTCACTTCTGCTTGTTTTAAAGCTTTATTTCCCCCTTCTTTATTATCTATTATAGCCTACATAATTTACTCTTTAAAGCGAAGAAAACTTTAAAGTCATTTCAGTTTTGGACCGCCTAGCTGGCTCAGTGGGCAAGGCGTGCCTCTCTTGATCTCAGGGTCATGAGTTCAAGTCCCACGTTGGACTTGGAGCTTACTTTTAAAAATAAAAAATAAGGGGCACCTGCGTGTCTCAGTGGAGAGTCCAGCCTCGGCTCAGGTCATGGTCTCACGGTTCATGGGTTCGAGCCCTGCATCAGGCTCTGTGCTGACAGCTCAGAGCCTGGAGCTACTTCAGATTCTGTGTCTCCCTCTCTCTCTGCCCCTCCTCTGCTTCCGCTCTGTCTCTCTCTGTCTCTGTCTCTCTCTCAAAAATAATAAACATTAGAAAAATGTTTAAATAAAAAATAAATAATATCTTTAAAGTCATTTCCTTTTCACAAAATAAGTCATTTACAATTAATGAAATTACAAGTGATTTTTTTCATTGTACTTCTCTTTTTTCTAAACATTATGAAATGAATATTTCTTTCCAAACAGTATTTAAGCTTTAAAAACATATCCTGTACAGGAGCTCCAGCTCCAGCTGAGTCAGGAGACGCTTTCTCTTCTCAAAGATCAGTATTAGCCTGATATCAAAAGCAAACAAAAATAACCCAAGGAAAGGAAGTTATAGATTAATCTCTCTCAGGGATGTAGATGCAAAATCCCCCAAATATTAGCAAAGTGAATCTGGCAGGTAAGCAGCTTTTCTGCCAGGAATGCGAGGCTCGCCTGACATGGGACAGGACCAGCGTGGTCCGCGGCGCTGCTGGTACGGGACCGGAACCCGCGCGGTCGTCGCAGCAGGTGCAGGGGGAGGAGGAGGAGAGCGAGGTCAGCTCCTGAGCGTGTCGGCGCCTCCTGCCCGCTGGGGACGCGCCCAGGGAGCGCACGGCGGCCGGGGCTGGCCTGCTTGCCGCCTGCCGCAGCGGAACGTGTTTATGTGCAGTCCCGGAACGGAATTAGTTGAACAACTCTGTTCCTAGTAACATCACAGAGAGTAAAATACAAAATTAGCCAAGTAAGTGTACTTGCAAGACTTTACCCTGAAAAGTGTAAAACGCTGCTGAGCCTGAAGGCCTGTGGGGGAGGGGACGGCCCGTTTCCATGGGTCAGAGGACTCTGTACTGTCCAGATATAATTCTCGTCAAATTAATCCACAGAGTCAGCGCAATCCCTGTCCAAATCCCTGCAGTCTTTTATGTAGAAATCGACAGGCTGGTTTTATATTCATTTGGAAATACAAAAGTCCTAAAATGGCCAAAATAATTTTGTAGAAGAACAAAGTTATAGGACTTATACTCTGATTTAAAACTCACTCTACAAAAAGCCACAGTAATCAAGGCCTTGGCACAAGGCTAGGCCTGTTGACTGATGGGACCTAATCGGGGCTCAGAAACAAACCCCCTCTTTACGCTCAGGTGACAGTTCGCTCGGCAGTGCAGCAGTCCTGGGGCGGCATCCACGTGGGAACAAGGAGCTTAGGCCTGTAGCTCACACCTGTGCAGAAGTTAGCTCCACAGATCAGAGCCCGAGAGTTAAAAGCCAAAAGTATAAAACCTCGAAAAGAACAAGGGAGAAAATCTACATGACTTTTGGATTAGACGGAGTTTTTGGCTGTACACCAAGAGCATGATCCAGAAAAAAGAAATTGATAGAAAATTGGACTTTCTCAAAATTAAAGCTTTTTAAAAAATATTTTATTTTATTTATTTATTTATTTTTTGAGAAACAGAGACAGCGTGAGCAGGGGAGGGTCAGAGAGAGGGGGAGACACAGAATCTGAAGCAGCCTCCAGGCTCTGAGCTAGCTGTCAGCACAGAGCCTGACGCAGGGCTCAAACCCACAAATTGTGAGATCATGACCCAAGCTGAAGTCGGATGCTTAACCTCCTGGGCCACCCAGGCGCCCCTAAAATTAAAGCTTTTGTGCTTCAAAAAATACTATTAAGAAAATGAAAGATAAGCCACAGATTGGGAGATGTATGTATTTTCTAGTGATGTATGTAACAATGGACTATGTCTGCTATAGATATATAAAGAGCACTTACAGCTCAGTAAGACAAACAATTGAATTTTATTTTATTTTTTTATTTTTTTTTATGTTTTATTTATTTCTAGGAGAGAGAGAGAGACAGCGTGAGCATGGGAGGGTCAGAGAGAGAGGGAGTCACAAACTGAAACAGGCTCCAGGCTCTGAGCTGGCAGTCAGCACAGAGCCCGACGTGGGGCTCGAACCCACGAACCGCGAGATCATGACCTGAGCCGAAGTTGGATGCTTAACCGACTGAGCCACCCAGGAGCCCCCAAACAATTGAATTTTAAAACATGGCCCAGAAAGAAAGCAGTTTCACTTAAAAAGATATATATAAATGGCCAATAAGCAAATATGCACATGAACAGACATTTAACACTAGTAATCATGAGGGAAATGGAAATCAGATCCTAATGAGATAGTACTGCACACCCACTAGAAGGTCTATAATCAGGAGCACCTGGGTGGCTCAGTCAGTTAAGCAGCAGACTTCGGCTCAGGCCATGATTGCACAGTTCATGGGTTTAAGCCCTCCATCAGGCTCTGTGCTGACTGGTCAGAGCCTGGAGCCTGTTTAGGATTCTGTGTTTCCCTCTCTCTGCTCCTGCCCTGCTCATGCTTGCTCGCTTGCGCGCGCGCTCTCTCTCTCTCTCTATTTTTCTGTCTCCTTCAAAAATAAACATTAAACAAAAAAAAAAAAAAAAAGAGAAAGACTATAACCAAAAAGAGACAATACCAAGTGTTAGTGAGTACATGGAGAAATTGGAGCCCTCTTCACTGATAGAAATGTAAAATGGTAGAGCCTCTTTGGAAGTAAGTAAACTTTGGAAAACTTTACAATGATTTAAAAAGCTAAATGTAGAACACACGGAATTTTACAAAAGAATAAGGCTGTACCCCTGTCTCACACCATACGTAAAAATGAACCCAAAATCATCAACAACTTTAATGTAGGAGCTAAAACCATAAAATCCTTAGGAGAACACAGGTGAGTCTTCATGACCTTGGATTTGGCATTGGATTCTCAGATACGACACCAAAAGCATGAGAAGCAGCAACAACAAGAACAGGAACTATATATTACAATATTAAATATACAATATATATTCATATATATATGAATTGGACTCCGTCAAAATCACATGCTTTGTACATCAAAACACATTATCAAGAAAGTAAAAAGACCAGCTTGACAGGACATATAAAGAGCTCTCGTACTCAGCAGCAAGAAGACAAACCAATTCAAAAATAGGCAGAGAACTTGCATAGACATTTCTCCAAAGATAAACAGCCAGTAATCTCAAGAAGGTGTCGGACATCACTACTTATCGGGGGAAGGCAGTCAGGACCAGGTGCACACACGCACACAGAGACACGTGTTGGTGGGAACCCCTGTTCGCTGCTGGTGGGGATGGAACATGGAACATGGTTTGGTGGCTCCCCAAAAAGCTAAGCCTAGAATGACCTCAGGACCCCGCAGTTCTGCTCTGAAGTGTACGCCCCGAGGACCTGGAAGGAGGGGCTGGAACACACTTGCACCTCCGCGCTCACGCAGCATATTCACAGCAGCCGGAAGGTGGAGCAACCAAATGCCCATCTGCAGATGGACAGCACACAGGTGTGCGTGCACCCCTGCCCTGCGGAGTCAGGGCATCTTAAAAAGAATGAAGTTCGAAAAGTGACAACATGGCAAACATTATGCTAAGTGAAATAAGCCAGACACAAAAAGGGGCGTAGGTTGTATGATTCAGCTTAAATGAAACAACTAGAATAGGCAAGTTCCCGGACCCTGAAGGGAGGTTAGAGGTCATGGGGCTGGGGGAGGGGGAAGGGGACTTACCGCTCAGTAGAGTTTCTGTTTGGGGCGACGACATTTTGGTTGGAAATAGCAGTGATGGCTGCACAACGTTATGGATGTAATTAATGCCACCGAATTGTACACTTAAAAATGTGAAATTTATGTCTGGTATTTTACCACCGTTTAAAGAAAGAAACGTACGCAGACTTCTCTGTCCTCCTGAGTGCTGGCTGTTTCCCAGGCTCTCCCCCGAGTTAGCTCTCACTCTGACGGGGTTATGGAAGGGGAGCGTGGTTGGTGCTCCCGTGTAGATGAGCCCCTCTCAGAGCACACCTGCAGAGACAGGGCGGTTGGTGGCTGTCCGGGGGGGGGGGGGGGGGGGGGGGGGGGGGGGGGGGGGGGGGGGGCGGCCATGGGATTCCTTCGAGGAAATGGGGATGTTCCTACAGTAGATTGCAGACTCCATTTACATAGATGAATATGTGTATGTTTATGTAAATAGGAACATCTCCGTATGTATTTAAGTGTATGCATGTATCTCTCTGTAATTAATTTCTGTTGCTGGAAATTTGAACCCTAATGTTTATGTAAAGGCAGATAATACCTAAGGTCACTTTGTCCACACTATCAAGTCATAAGTTTAAAAAAATGAAATCAATCCAGCCTCTCCTTTGCCAAGAAACTGTCTTGGGTTGTTTTGCATTATCCTGTCTGCGCTGGAAGCCTATACCTTTAATGATCTTAGCTATTCCAGTAAATAGGTTTTAAAATATTATCATATTCATTTTGGTGCCAATTAATGCACTTAAGATATTTTATCGATGTTATTTCTGTAGTATATTAACAATGAGGGAACAATATATAGCAATTATTTCAGTTTTAGGAAGCACTTAACTAGATTAAAAGCTGTAAGTAGCAGATAGTACATTTTAGAATAGTGGTCTAATCATGTGCTGGGGTGAGTTGTTAGCCACGGTCTGTACCTTATTGTCACAAGGGCGGGTGATAAAATGAATTTAGACCCTAAGATCATGCTAGCCAAAGAACTGTCTCTGTTGGAAATAAGAAGCCCAGGTTTTCAGGTCTGTGACTCTCGCGTGCATCCTTAGCTAGGGTCTGCTGCTCAGTACGGCGGCTTCTAACTGGCAGCGGAGTCAGAACTCAGACCCTTTGCAGCCAGGGCCCATCCCGTGGGTACAGGGTGTTTCTCATCCTGGCCTTCGGTGTGCGGGTCCTTCGGAGGTGTCTGTCCCCTCGTGTGCTGGTCCATCACCTCCCAGGAGCAGAAAGAAAGGGGTCTCCAGGGGCGCCTGGCTGGCTCAATCGTGAGTCAGGGCTGTGAGTTCAAGCCCCATGTTGGGCATGGAACATACTTGGAAGAAAAGAAGAGGGTGTCTAGAGGTGTCTTTCGGCCACAAGCCAGCGCCCATCACTGTAGTGGGCAAATGAAAATGGATCCCTCTTAGCAGCTTGTTGCTCTGGTGTTTTTAGGAGAATCCCCCTTTTGCAGTGACCTTATTTTTAGTAAAACATTTATTCCCGTTGTCCTAGGAGGCTATTCTGCTGACCACCCTGTGATCAAAGTCTTCTGGAGAGTTGTGGAAGGATTCACAGATGAAGAGAAGCGCAAGCTGCTCAAGTTTGTAACGAGCTGCTCCCGACCCCCTCTTTTGGGGTTTAAGGTATGTGGCTTTTGTGCCATTTGCTTTGAACCCTACCTTGTAAGTGACCAGCACGGCCAGCAGGCTGTGAGGTGCGGCTGGGTGGAGCAGGGCCCCGTCGGTTCCTTGTTCTTCAGGCAGCGCAGTGCTTTTGTCACACGTGTCCTGGGGTGTCTTCCCGCCGTCAGTAAGCGTTCCGGCCGGACCACCTAGGGTCCGCTGTATGTGAAGGTGCTGGTCAGGGCTGACCCGTTGATGTGGTGGTGTTGACCATGACTGCCCGTGAATGGGCCCTGCAGGCTTGTGGGCTCACTGTCACTGGAACATAAATGACCCATGTCCTAAGTCTGTAACGCATCATGAGCTGGTTTCCTACTGAAGAAAACACAAGCTAAAAATGTTGATGTAGTATATTTGGGAAGAATAAGGTATGAGCAAAAGTGCAGTTGACCTTTGAATAACACAGGGTTAGGAGGCGCTGATGCCCCCCATGCAGGAGAAAACCCACATGTAATTTGACTCTTCAAAAACTTAACAACTAAATAGACTGCTGTTGGCAGAAAGCCTTACCAATAACATAAACAGTTAATGCATATTCTATATGCATGGTATACCATATTCTTATAGTATACAGTCAGCTAGGGAAAGTAAAGATCGTAAGAGAAAATACTGTACTCACCTGCCCTTATTGAAAAGAATCTGCATAGAAGTTCAGAGCAGGATTCATGCAGTTCAGAGCAGTATTGTTCAAGAGTCAGTGGTATATTTTTCCTTGGTTGTTCACTGTTACTTACTTTATGTTGCTTATCATTTCTGATAATTAATGATCGCCTCCTATCATTCGGCTTAATATTAGCAATTAAAATTGGTTAAGGGACAGTTAGTGTGTCTCTGTTATTCACTGGACATTAAAGCAGCATTTGTAGTCTAAGACACACGGTGTGTGTGTGTGTGTGTGTGTGTGTGTGTGTGTGTGTGTGTGTGAGAGAGAGAGAGAGGGAGAGAGGGAGAGAGAGATACAGAAGCATATCAGATGAGCTTGTGCTGTGAAACTTCCAGGCAGGCTTGCACTTTCCAATATGCTTTGATCAATGGGTTATACATGTTATTCTTTTCTTTAAATTTTTACTTTGAAATTATTTCAGAAGTATAGAAAAGTTGTGAGAATTAGACAAAGGACTTCTAGTATGTAAATTGCATCTTAATCAAAACGTTTTTAAAAATCAACATCAATAGGGATGCCTGGCTGGCTCAGTCAGACTGGAGCATGCTCCAGTCAGTGGAACTCACAATCTCGGGGTTGTGAGTTCAAGCCCCATGTTGGGTGCAGAGATGACTTAAAAATAAAAAAATCTTTGGCACGTCTGGGTGGCTCAGTCAGTTAAACGTCCAGCTCTTTATTGTGGCTCAGGTCATGATCTCACAGTTGGTGAGTTCAAGCCCCACATTGGGCTAACACGTGGAGCCTGCTTGGGATCCTGTCTCTCTGCCCCTCTCTGTGCGCCTTCCCTGCTCGCCCAAAGTAAATGAACTTTTTTTTTTTTTTAACTTTAAATGTCTCTCTCAAAATAAATGGACTTTTTTTAACTTTAAAAATAAAAAAATCTGTTTAAAAAACGGACATCAGTAGCTTCATACAACATCTCAATAGTACCATCACAGCTAGAGCCATAAAGTGGAGAAACAGGAGAGGGGGTGGCGTGAACACAGTGGCTTTATTGTTCACAGGACCTGAATCATTGACACGGTTACAGTTTGGAAGCGGTGGTGAATTAAAACATGGATATAAACCTGTGAGTGAATAATACTCAATGACATTAGAACTAAAATCACTTCTCTATCTTCCAAATTATCAGGGAGGGAGGAAAAAACCCATCCAGAAGAAGACAAACAGGGCCAACTACATTAAACAAAGATAACACTAAGAATCATAAAATAGACACTTAACATTAATGAGAGAAGGCCGACCCATTACAACAGTGGATATACATAGAATAACCCCATATTTTAAAGCCATTTGAAAATGGCTGTGTGCAAGCAACACACCTCAGCAGAATGATGCATAAAGATTGAGTGATGCTTCTGACTTGGCATGTAAGCCCCGCCCCCAAAACAACTCGATGGGCACGGAGGGCCTTCTGCCCGGCACTGACCAGGTACGGAATCAGGCCAACAGCCTGAAACAAATGTGTCTTTGCTTTTTGGTTCCTCTTGGGTGTGTCATGGGGTCTGGGGCTGTTGCGTGGGGGGGCCCGCAGAGCAGGAAGAATGGGGGGGGGTACACAAATGCATGAACCAGTCGGACCCAGGAGATGATAAAACTGGAGTAGACCAAGTTTTATCTTCATCTGGTGATGTGAACAGTCCTATAAATTCAGTTCTTCCACATTAAGATTATAGTAGCATTAGGTAGTTTTATCAGTAACATTCATTATGGGAAACCAGGCTTCTAGCATCTTCCAGTTTCAAAATGACCCCACACCTAGAAGTAAAATAATTAAGCACCTAGTTTCATGAAGGGAGGTTTGAAAGACCCACTCCCATCAAAACTGAGTGGAGAACCCAGAGATTTCTGCCAGCTCCTAGTGAATTAGTCCCCAGCCCATAAAAATTCAGGGTCTTGCTGGAAGGGGAAGGTTTGGAAGGTTCTAGGCCTTCTGGCAGCCAGTGCAGGAGTCTGTGTGAAAGGCCTGTGGGAGCGGTGCAGGTTTGGAGGGAGAAGTGCGGACTTTACGTTTTGCTTTTGAATCCCAAATAGTGAAAACGCTCCTGTCCCCTGTTGGGGACCTCATACGGACACAACTGAGTTGTCATGGTCACTTGTGGAAGTTGTGAGACAGTCTTCCTGTTTTGGATTTTTTCAATGACCTAAAATCTACTAAACGTGGAATTTAATTTAGAGTTTTCCAGTGTCTTTGCAGTTGTCAGAAGTTAGACCCCAGAGTTGGGAGAGGCCGCCTCACTGTGCGCGGTCAGGTCGGGCCGTGTGCCCGGGGGAGGCGGCCAGCAGGTGGAGACCGCAGGGAGCAGAGGGACGTGGGGGATCTAAGGGCTCCAGGGCTCCAGAGCACCGGGTTCATGGCGGAGAACTGCGCCGCTAAAGCTAATTAAAGTGTAATGTGTTCAGTGAGTGTGATTGTACAGACAAAAAAATCATTAAAGCGCTGTAGAAAATCGTTAAGTTGCCATCAGGCCACATAACAAATTGATGGTTTTTCTTACTCTGAATTAATGCAAATTCCCGTTGTGCTGTATTTAATTATGCACAAAATAGTGCCCTTGACTCAGATTTCAATGAAGAACTTCATTTTTTTTGCTTTTATGTCTCCAAATGGGAAATTCAATTAGCATTATGAACGAAACGCCAAACAGGGACATTTTACTCCAAATGCACTTGAGGCTCTTCCCGTCCGGGCAGGCGCTCGCCTTCCTTCCCCAGCACCCGCCCTGCGTCTCCCTGGTGCCGTTTTCATTGTCGTTTGTTCAACTTTGGAGAAAATTATCGTCCTCAGTGTACTCAGATGGCTAAATAATAAATGTAATTAGCGTCCTTTCTGTTTCTCTTTTGCATCCAGTTCTGACACTTTCATAAGACACTTAAAATAGCATATAAACTGGGGTGCCTGGGTGGCTTAGTCGGTTAAGCGTCCGACTTTCGCTTAGGTCATGAACTCGCGGTTCGTGGGTTCGAGCCCCGCGTCGGGCTCTGTGCTGACTGCCAGCTCGGGGCCTGGAGCCTGTTTCAGTCTGTGACTCCCTCTCTCTCTGACCCTCCCCTGCTCACGCTGTCTCTCTCTCTATCTCCTAGAAATAAGTAAAGCATTAAAAATTTAAATAAAAAAAAATAACATATAAACTGTAATTGTTTTAAAAGACAAGTGTTTTGTGTTGTTTTTTTTTAGCACATACTATATACCACGTATTCTGTTTAAATGAAGTTCAGGGTTTTTTTTAACATTTATTTATTTTTGAGAGACAGAGCGTGAGTGGGGGAGGGAGAGGGAGATACAGAATCCGAAGCAGGCTCCAGGCTCTGAGCTGTGAGCAGAGCCCGACACAGGGCTCGAACTCATGATGAGATCATGACTTGAGATGAAGTCAGCCACTTAACTGACTGAGCCACCCAGGTGCTCTTAAATGAAGTTTTGGGTTTTTTTGTGGGGTTTTTTGTTTTTTTTTTTTTTTTATGTTTCTTTTTTGAGATAGAGACAGAATGTGAGCAGGGGAGGGGTAGAGAGAGAGGGAGACACAGAATCTGAAGCAGGCTCCAGGCTCTGAGCTGTCAGCACAGAGCCTGACACGGGGCTCAAACTCATGAACCATGAGATCATGACCTGAGATGAAGCCAGATGCTTAACGAGCTGAGCCACCCAGGTGCTCCTAAGTGAAGTTTTTCCTTGAACAGTGGAGAAATGTACAGGGGCCGATTGGTAAGAAGCCTGTAAGTCTCCAGCCAGTGTTCTGTGGGCTGTGCTCTTACTCGGTTTTGGCCACATTGTAAAATACACACTAAATCCAACATACAAATAAAATGAAACCAGCTAGAATGCAGTTTGGGCCAATTGGGTGCCTCTCGCTGAGTGATGTGGTCTCCCAGTGTCCCTGTCAGAGGAGGGATGTGGTTCCAATTTTGCTCTCTCGTTTCCACTATAGTGATTAGTAGGTAGGTAGTAGGTAATTATTTTTTATACTGTTTGACCATAATTCTTAAATTAAGCTGATTATGTACTCAGACATATAGGCCTTTTTTTCACTCAACGTTACATCAGGATCATTTTTCCTCATATTAAATCATCTTTGAAGTATTTTTTTTAATTTGTATGTTTTTTATTTATTTTTGAGAGTCAGAGACAGTGCGAGCAGGGGAGGGTCAGAGAGAGAGAGAGACACAGAATCCGAAGCAGGCTGTGATGACAGACGTGGGGTTCGAACCCATGAACCGTGAGATCATGACCTGAGCTGAAGTTGGAGGCTCAACCAACTGAGCCACCCAGGTGCCCCTGAAGTATTTTTAGATATGTCATAATGTCCAGTCATGTGAATTTGCTGGAATTCATTACAACTCTTCCATCCTGGTGGCGTGTAGAGCATCCTTGGGCGTAAGTGGCTGTCTGGGTCCCTGCCTGCTGGCTCAGATACAGTCCTGGGATAGAGGTCACAGGACGCAGCCATGCGGAGGCTCCAGACTGGCCTTCATGGAGGCTACGCAGGTCACCCCCAGGAGTGGAGGCTTCGGAGCAGCTGCTGGCGGGCGTGGCAGGGGCTGTTTCCAGGTTTTGCGGAAGCACTGGCTCCCTGGTCACAGCTGTGGGAGGGAGGGCGCAGACCTGGCACTGAAACTGCCGGGTTCCAAACACCCCCGGAGCCCACCCCCATCTTGCTTTCTGGGCCCCCTATGCTGCCCGGGGGCTCAGCACACTGGGTGTCTGGGATCCTGTGGGTATGGAGCCCTAACGCCTCACTTGCCCGAGAGCACACAGTTCAGGCTTTCGGGACAAAGACGGTCTCGGCGTCACGGCACCCTTGCCGGCAGAGACCCCAGAGAGCACGTGCTGTGTGCAGTGAGCGCTTGCGTGTAAGACAGAGACTAAGCCCCCGGCCCTTTGTTGGCGCCGAAGGCTGGTGTTTCCACAGGCCTCATGCCCCGAGTCCGCAGACACATGAAACCCCTTAAGCACACGCTTGTTCATAGCATCAGTATTTGTAAAAATAATAAAATAACTGTCCATCCGAGCTGCTGCCTGCATTGAGGGCAGCACCCTGCGGCCTCAGAAACTGGAGCCCGGGTTGACACACAAAGTCACATTATCACGGGAAGACTTACCAGCATACACAGCACTGTACATACTGTGCTAACATTTCACAGGTTTTATTTTTTTTATTTATTTTTTTTTAATGTTTTATCCATTTCTAGGAGAGAGAGAGAGACAGCGTGAGCAGGGGAGGGTCAGAGAGAGAGGGAGTCACAGACTGAAACAGGCTCCAGGCTCTGAGCTGGCAGTCAGCACAGAGCCCGACGCGGGGCTCGAACCCATGAACCGCGAGATCATGACCTAAGCGAAAGTCGGACGCTTAACCGACTAAGCCACCCAGGCGCCCTTGCATTTCACAGGTTTTAAATGGGGGGGTGGGGGGGTAATTTTTTAAGCAGGCTCTACACGCAGCATGGAGCCTAACATGGGGCTTAAACTCATGACCCCGAGATCAAGATCTGAGCTGAGATCAAGAGTCACTCAGGTGCCCCGAAAAATGTTTTTTCTGTTTTTTTCTTTTTCAGTTTTTATTTAAAGTGTAGTTAACTTACAGTGCAATGCTGGTTTCAGGGGAATTCAGTGATTCCTCCCTTGCATACCACACCCAGGGCTTGGCAGAAGTGCCCATGCCCGTGGGGCCCAGCGCCCACCCACCTCCCCCTCTGAAAACCATAAGTTTGTCCTCTGCTGTTGAGTCTCTCTCATGGTTTGTGTCCCTTTCTGTTCTTTTGTCTTTCTTTCTCTTCCCACATGTTCATCTGTTTTGTTTCCTAAATTCCACGTATGAATAAAATCATACAGCATTTGTCTTTCTCTGATTTATTTCACTTAGCATAACACACTAGTTCCATCCACCTGGTTGCAGATGGCAAGATTTCATTCTTTTTTATGAAGTCGTGTTCGTGTGTGTGTGTGTGTGTGTGTGTGTGTGTGTGTGTGTGTGTACAGCACACGTTCTTTATCCACTCAGCAGTGGGTGAACGTTCGGGTTGCTTCCATACTTTGGCTGTTGTTGACAGCTTTCCTATAAACACTGGGGTGCACGTGCCCCTTCGAAACAGCACACCTGTATCCCTTGGATAAATACCTAGTACTGCGGTTGCTGGGTCGTAAGGTAGTTCTGTTTTTAACTTTTTGAGGAATCTCCACACTGTTTTCCAGAGTGGCTGCACCAGTTTGCATTCCCGCCAGCAGTGTAACTGGGTTCCCGTTTCTCCACATCCTCACCAACTTGTTTCTTGTGTTTTTGTGTTTCTTTTATTTTAGCCACTCTGACAGGTGTGAGGGAGTATCTTGTTACGGATTTGATTTTTATTTCCCTGATGATGAGTGATGTTGAGCATCTTTTCCTGTGTCTGCTGCTGTCTGGATGTCTTCTCTGGAAAAGTGTCTATTCATGTCTTCTGCCCATTTCTTCACTGGGTTATTTGTTTTTTGGGGGTATTCAGTTTGAAAAGTTTTTTATAGATTTTGGAGAAGGTGTTGTCTTCTCTGTGCACTAATCTCTGTGGGATAATACCTAAGACCCTCAAGTATTATTACTCGTGGACGGAAGCTGGGCAGCTGGGATATCAGGATGAGAATGTCTACACTGTGCCTTAAAAAATACGGGGCACCTGGGTGGCTCAGTCGGTTGAGTGGCAGACTTCAGCTCAGGTCATGATCTCACGGTTGTAGGTTCGAGCTTCGAATCGGGCTCTGTGCTGACGGCTCAGAGCCTGGGGCCTGCCTCGGGTTCTGTGTCTCCCTCTCTCTGCCCCTCCCTGCTCGTGCTCTGTCTCTCAAAAAATAAATAAATGTAAAAAATTTTTTAAAAATAGCCAGTGACATCTTCACGTCTAAAAAATAACCCCATTAATCCCCAAATACCGTTAGTGCTCCCGGTACAAAGAAGCCCCGGGCCGCCCACCGCACTGGCTTTGCCTGGCTCTGCTCTCTCCTCTTTCTTGTCTGCGCCGTCCGCCTCCCTCTCCTCCTGCACCTCGTAGCGTAATTACTGGAGGGGCCGGGTAGTCCCTCGAGCATCTTGTTAAGGGGTCATTAGAGGTTTCATCAGCTCCCAGGTCTGAGCTTTCCTTTTTTGGCCGTAACGGTGGATAGGCGACATCGCCCGCCTACATCTGCTGGCCTGAGCCCCACTGACCCCGGGCTGGGGGGTCAGTCGTGCGCGGGGCCCAGACTGGCATGCGCACTTCAGTGGTGTTGGTCTGGCCGCCTGTCACCCTCCCTAGGTCCATTCTTGGCCTTTTTTTTAATGTTTCTTAATTTTGAGAGAGAGAGAGTGCACACACACATGCAAGTGGGGAAGGGGCAGAGAGAGAGAATCCCTCACAGACTCCACACTGTGCTGTCAGCACAGAACCCGGGCTCGTTCAAACTCACCAACTGTGAGATCATGACCTGAGCTGAAGTCGAGTCAGACCCCCATCCAGCCGAGCCGCCCAGGCCCCCCAAATCCATTCTGTAATGTGGAGGTGAGGCAGCTGCATTCCAACTGCATCAGCTCTTCACATCTTAGCTGGAATTTTCTATGAAGGAAAACTTCATTTTTTTCTCAACTGTTTGGTTCCCCTGAGGACTCTTTGTACAGAAAAGACAGTAAATCACGGTTGCCCTTCATCTTCCAGGTTTTGGGGTGTCGAGTGGGTTCGCCCACACTGTCTACCAGCAGGCCCACCTCTGTCCCCTTATTACCCTCGTGACTGTGCGGGCTTTGACGTGTTCTCCGCTTCAGGCCGGTGCAAGCATTCTTTTTTGATATTCAGAGCGCGCTTCTCCCTCCCCCACTGTGGGCGCCTTCAGGTGGGCCCTTTAACCCACAGAGTTTGGGCTAGCTTCCTTGCTTTCTGGCGTGACAAATGGTGACACATGTCATGCACATTTCCAGGCTCCGCGTGGGGTCCTGATCTCCCCCAGGAGGCCTGGCTCCTTTCCATGAGAACTGGGTCTGTAGAAACCACACCTGCGTACTTAGTCTGTACCTTGTCACATGTGGGCTTTGCAGGGACATTTAGGAAGTGTTTTTTCCCCTAAGAGAAAAATACATCACAAGTTCAAACTGATACTTCCAATCAAATATAGGCTTATATTTGATTGTCCTTTCCCACTGATAATCGTGGTTTCAGCTCGCTCCTTTGCTTCCTCCCCTGAGTCCTGGGACCCCACAGTCAGTACAGTTCTGTGTGGCTGTGAGGTAGTTCACGGGACAGGACTGCGGCTTTGGACCCACACTCGCATGTCACCTCCCTGTGTGATGAAGCCATCGGTGCCCAGACTCCTTATGTCGTTCTGCTTTCGGTGTTTAGACATTGCTTTTTCCCTCCCCTCTTTTCTTAAATGTTTATTTGAGAGAAAAAGGGAGATGGGGGGCAGAGAGAGAATCCCAAGCAGGCTCCACGCTCATTGAAGAGCCTCACGTGGGACTTGATCCCACAACTATGAGCTCATGACCTGAGCTGAAATCAAGAGTCAGGTGCTCAACCGACTGAGCCGCCCAGAAGCCCCTTTCTCTCCCCTTTCGGGTGAATTTGTTTGGGGCAGTTTATTTTGTTTTCTTTTGAGTGAATTTGGTTTCGTTTTCTGTTGCCCCGTGTCTGCCTGCAGACTGCTCTGGTCGAGACAGCCGGCCCTCCCCCTGCTCCCGCCCCCTCCCCCTGCTCTCTCCCCCACCCCCTCCCCTGCTCTCTCCCCCACCCCCTGCCCCTCCCCCCGCCCCTCCCTTCCAGGGTGGCTTCTTCCCCACACTTCCGCATAAACAGGCGTAGATATCCAAGTCTTCACCCTCTTAGCTTCTTGAATTTTAAGCAGATTTTTAAAAGACTGAAACACAAAACCTTTGAGGCCGTATTCACGGAACAGGTCATGTTTCGCGCCCCGGTTCCCGCAGGGAGTGCAGGGCAGCGTCCAGCCTACGTGGGCCTGGTCGGGGCCCCCGTGAAGCACCCGGTGTCCTTGGGGGAAATGTGACCACGGCGACTTCTTCCCGTGGGAGGCAGGCAGGTTTGCGCGCTTCCAGGAGTGCGTGCGCGGGCCTGCTGCTAATGCCGCGCCGTGCGCACGTGTCTTCGCAGGAGCTGTACCCCGCGTTCTGCATTCACAACGGAGGCTCTGACCTGGAGCGGCTCCCCACGGCCAGCACCTGCATGAACCTGCTGAAGCTCCCCGAGTTCTACGACGAGGCGCTTCTGCGCAGTAAGCTTCTCTACGCCATCGAGTGCGCCGCCGGCTTCGAGCTGAGCTGAGCGAGCGGCCTGACCCTGCAGCGCGGGCAGCGCCCCCGCCGCCCCCACCCCACCCCCACTGTCTAGATGGTCCAGTAAGTCACGGTCACGCACGCAGACGGACACCGCCTCTCAGATAACTTAGAGTAACAAGGGTCCTGTGCCACGCGGCCGCGTTAGTACTTTCGCCGACGAGAGCTTAGGTTTTGGACTAGCGGCGACTCAGTGAAATTAACCAAAGATGAAGCTTTGGCTTTGCCGGTGGCCTCGGCCTCCCCGCCGGCCTGGCTCCCGGGAGGGGGAGGGAGGGGGAGGGCGGGGCGCTCGCGCTCAGGGCCCCGCTTCTCCTGCGGCTGATTGTTTACAATCCTTGTTGAAACGAAAGGCGTTCTCTCTCCTGCTGCCTTTTCCCAAAGTGGTTAGGTTTGGAAATACACACATAATAGTTTATTTGTGCTTTCTAAGCCATTCCCTGCACGGGCGCAGCATGCTTGGGTCGGTGCCGGTGCCAGGGGCGCACCGCGGCGGCCTGGTGCTCGTGCGTGCGTGCGTCCGCCGGGCCGCGCCTGGGGCCGCAGCTGCCGGGAGGGGGTGCGGGGAGGGCCCGGCCCCGCGGCGCGCTGGCCCCTGGGAGGCGGCGGCGCAGGGAGGACAGACACTGGCATCTGAGTCACTTGAACCAAAGTGGCGGCTGCGGCTTTGCACTCGGAGTGGCCCGCTGTGGCCGGGCGCCCGCGGCTCACCGCCCTCCCGCCCCGGGGCGCGCGCCCCTCTCTCGGGACCCGCGGGGTCGCGCGCCCCCTGCGCCTCTGCGCCTCTGCCCCTCGACGGTGCTGCTTCAGAAGAAGACCGGACGGCCGGCCCCAGGCGCGGCCCGGGAGGCGGGGGGAGTGTCGGGAACTCTCTTAAAAAGGCACTTTATCGGGACCTTCCTTGTTGCTGGGTGATCCCGGTCTCTGAAAACGGAGAGCGCGTCAGAGCGTCGGCCCTGAGGGCCCCGCAACCTTCCCGACCCGGGAGGGGGCGTGCAGGGGGCACGGTGGGGGGGGGGCAGCACCTCCTTCCCCGCCTCACGCAGCGTTTCCTGCCTGCCGCAGGGGGCCTGGGCCGTGCTGTGGAAGTGACCAGAATTAGCAATATGCTTTTAAATGCGGGGACGCTGAATGACACTTTTAAGACAATGACCATATCAAAACAAAATGTATAATTTCATAATTTGAATAATAAATTAAGTGTTTAAATGCTATTTGTAGTCTGGATATGCAGAAATAAAGTAATTAGGGTTTGTCCTTGGTTTTATTTTTATTTCAGGTTGGTTTACGGTGAATGTTCTGTATCTCCTTTACGTATTAATTTGTATATTTTATTATCAGTATTTTGAAAATGGATTATTTGGGACTGAGGGGACGATGGCAGACACACTTATTTGGGTTTTTTTCCCTCAGCTATTGAGCTTATTTATTTATTTGTATGTTCAGTGGTTACATGTTTGCATTAAATGTTTCTCCCCCAAGAGCGTGTTGGCGTCCCCGACATCACTGTGTCCCCCCACCCCCGTCCTGCCCGGGGTCGCCTGCCGCCGCAGGCCCCGCGCACCCAGAGGCTCTGGCAGGCGGACCCCCGACGCCGAGGAGAGAGTCGCAGCGGAGGGACACCCCTCCCGCGCTCTGCGGTCCCTGCCCGGGTGTCCCTCAGCCCGGCGCCCGCAGCGGGGTTCTGGCCCGTGTCCTGCGGGAGCTCCTGGGGCTTCGCCGCACGGGGCTCCCGGTGACCGCGTCGGTGCCGCCCCAGCCCACGGCCTGCACGTGTTGTGCGCCCCCGGCGAGCAGTGGCCTGCGGTCCACACGGCCCGCGCTCTGGGCACAGCCTCGCCGCCCCCGGGGATGGGGATGGGGACGGGGCCGTGCCACGCAGACCTGTGGATGCCCGTGGGACGCGGGGCATAGGAAGGGCTCGGAACCGTCCTGAGGGGGGCGCGGGGCGCCGTGTCCTATTGAAGCCGCCCATACTTTAGAGACCGCAGCCAAAGGCCCAGGAGAGGAGCGTGAGGGGGCTCACGAAGCTGACGGTTAGCTGCCCCCTTACAGCCGACACCTAAGCGCATCCGGAAATTTGAAGCGATCCGCTGTTCCGGATCCGTCCGTGCCAGGTCAGGGAGCGTCACGGCCGCGTAGGTGTGTCTGCAGTCACACAGGACAGGCTCCCCCGGAGACCCCGCTGCCCGACGACGCGGGCTGCGGCTGCGCTCGTCGTGGCCTCTGGAGGCTCTTCCCGGCGCTGCGGCCGTGGCCGGAGCTGGTGGCCTCTTTCCTTGTCCCAGAGAAGTCCTCTCGGGGAGGGAGCGGGGCGAGAGCACCCAGGCCGGTGGCAGGTGGTGGGCTCCCGTGGGCTCCAGGGTCGTGGGCCATGCCAAGCTGTCTGCTTCCAGAAAGTCCAGCTCGTGGGTCTGTGCACACGGGACGGCTCCAGATGCGGGGCTTCCTGGCGCGGTGACGAGGGTCCCGTGGGCGCCCCGAGTGTGCTCTGGCCTTCTGCCTCCGCGGCGCGGGAGAGCCTGGTTGGAGATTGCGGCCTCACGTGGTTTCGTGCCACAGGCTGCGAACGGCACCCCTGTAAACCGCGGACGCCGCGCCCCTGCTACCGCTTCACGCGCCCCCCTCCGTTCCTGTTCTGGAGGGTGATTCTCAGCGCGGCTCTGGGTTTAGATGACCGGAAGAGGCCGCGCCCCTCGGGAATGGTCATTAGCTCCTAATCATAACGACCGACCCTGGCCGTGGGACTGGGGGTGCGGCTTCCCAGTGGGGCTCAGTGAGCTGCAGACCTGGCCGCCGTCCGGCGGGCGTACGGCCTGTGGCGGGAGCCCCGTGCCGCTGCGGACACACACGTTGGAGGCTCGTCGTCCCCAACAGCCGCTGACACTTGCCCGGGGCAGTGACGCTGTGCTGGGGGACCCCGTTAGCCTTGGGATCTTGAGTTCACTGTGGAAGTGGGAGCGTCGGGGGCGATCCGGATCACGGGCCTGACCGTCTCGGAGCTGAAGCTTGCCGACCCCCAGAACCACGGGCTGCGAACTGGCCAGTGTCGTTACCAGAAGCTTCTGCGTGGACACAGTACCAGGTAAGCGGTCGGTGTTGTTTGGGGGTTGAGGGCGGGGGGGGGGGAGGTAAACATGCCGTAGCGGCCAGACCCAGTGACCAGACCCGCCACGGGGGAGCCAGCCAGAGACGCGAGGGCAGGGCGTCGTGGCCGCACAGACGGCCGCACGGGGGTGTGTGTGAAGACGGTGAAGATCACGACGAGGTAGCTTCCCGTGGCTGCTGTGACGCGGCCGCAGGCGGGCGCCGGGGACGAGGACATCTGCTCTCTGCCTCTCCCCCCCCCCCGCTTTCCGGCGGGCGCGCCCAGGCTGAGGTCACGTCACCGACCTGTCTCCCTCGGCACGTCTGCCGCGCGCGCCAACTCTGCGTTTCTCCTCTGAGGACGCTTGGCCGCTGGAATCGGGGCCCCACGGACGGGCCCGAGCAGCCTCCTCTCGAGATCCCCGATTACGTCTGCAGAGAGCTTTTTACCCCAACTGCGACCGTTCACAGGTTCCAGGGGACATGAGCCAAAGCGGGGCCCGGGGCGGAGTTTACGCCACCTGACAAGCGGAGCACCAGACGTGCCCTTTACCCCGAAAGTTGGGAACCCCCAATCGCCGCGTGGCGTGGCCCGCGGAGCCCTGAGCACGGCCGTCCTTTGCCGTCCGGGAAGGCGGGCTCGCGCTACACCGGTGTTCCCGGGCCTGGAGCCAGGCGATCAGGGAGGAGCGCGCAGGCGCGCGGCTGTTCTCAGCTTGCTTACTCCAGAGTGAGTGTCAGCGGGGGGGGGGGAGGGAGAGAGGGAGAGGGGGAGAGAGAGAGAGAGAGAGAGAGAGAGAGACTCCCACGCAGGCTCCGCGCCGTCAGCACAGAACCCGACGCGGGGCTTGATCTCACCAAACATGATTTCACGACCTTTAGAGTCAGATGCTCAACCGACTGAGCCCCCGAGGCGGCCCCACAAGCCTGCGTTTTTAAAGTGACCCAGACAGGCCTTCCTGGGAGGCTGTCGGGAAGCAGCCGCGCAACCTCAGGAACGCCGGCCGGAAGCGCGGCCGAGGGCCGGAAGCGCGGCGCGGAGTCGGTTTCCGCTGTCGTGGGCGGGGCCGGGCCCTCCAGCTCAGGGGCCCCGGCCAGGGCTCCGGGGAGGAGGGGCGGGCGGGGGGGCAGGGCAGGCCCCCCCCCGCCCCCGCTGCACTCACCCGGGGGGAGGCGTGTCCGGCAGGGACTCACGCCCGCGTGGCTTCTGTGGCTTCTGATCCGGCCTCCCAGACTCTGGGAGCCCAGGGCATCGCAGAACCCGCGCTCGGGCCCCCGACCCCGGCCCCCACGCCCCCCCGCGCAGGCTGCCAGCCCTCCTCCCGGAGCTGCCAGCTGGGGACCTGCCGTGTTCTGCCACCTCCATGTCGTCAGCGGTGGCCTCGGGTTGGCCTGGACCTGCGGGTACTTCCCGGTGTCCCCTACCGCTGCCCTCGCTCGCCCCCACTCTGCTTTTGACTCCTTAGCCAAAGAAAACCCTGGATCCCAAGCTGGTCCTGGCCATTCCTCCGGGCAGGCCTTTCCCGCGTCTCCCAGTAACAGCACCCGGGTCCCTCCCGCTGCTGACTGGGCCTCACTGGGGGCTGCTTTGATCTCCCTGCCTCGGGCCTTTGCACTCGCTCCCTCTGCGTCGCACGAAAGCTCTTCCCACAGATACTCAGGTGGCCGCCCCTCACTTCCTCAGGTCTTTGCTCAATGTCCTCTGTCCTTTCCGCTTTATTAAAAACTGCAGCCTCTCTGTCCCAGTCATGACCTGTCGTTCTGCATGGCTTTCTCGGGGGCACCGGTTTCTGTCTGATAGTTGATGCCTCCACACGTTTTTTTCTCCACCCCTCCCCCCACTAGAACGTAAGTTTCATTTTTGTCTAAACATCTGTCTCCCAGCGCCTAGGACGATGCTCAGGAGTTACTTGTGGCAGGAACTCGCTTCACGAGGGAAGGAGAGCTTTGCTAACCAGGAAAAGTTGCAAATTACTGCCCATATGGACGTTCCGACTGTGAATCCTCGGGCCCAGGTTAGAAGCCTTTGCAAGCGAAGTAACGAGAAGGTGACTGTCTTACCGCCTGCCCCGACCTTCGACCTTCGGGCCGGCGCAGGCCCTGCCTGGGGCCCCGCCCTTCCGGGGGCTGTTCCTGCAGCCCTGTCACGTGACGCCTGCTCCCGGGAAGAGGGGCTTTGGCGCCCGGCCCTCCCTCCGCAGACTTCCGCCTGGCGGCGCGGGTGAGGCTGTGAGTGGGCGGGGTGACAAGCAGGTCCCTGCCTGCCCCAGAGCCGAGGTCCGTCCCGGTTTCTCCTGCGACGGCGCCCTACCCGGCCCCCGTCTGGAGCCAGTCACTTCAAACTTGAACCGCTTCAAACTTGAACCCCCTCACAGAACCGGCAGGATTTTCCTACTCACCCTGGGGCTTTAAAATGATACAATAGGGGCACCTGGGGGGCTCCGTCGGTTAAGCGTCCGACTTCGGCTCAGGTCATGATCTCGCGGTTCGTGGGTTCAAGCCCCGCGTCGGATTCTGTGCTGACAGCTCAGAGCCTGGAGCTGCTTCAGATTCTGTGTCTCCTTCTCTCTCTGACCCTCCACCTCCCTCCCTCTCTCTCTCTGTCTCAAAACATTAAAAAAAATTTTTTTTAATCTTAAAGATTAAAATCCCATTGCCTTCCGGCGTTGGCGTGCGGACGCGAAGCTCCACTTCCGGGGTAACTAAGACGCGGAAACGTTCAGCCAGGCTTGTGTGTGGGCTCGTAGAGCAACAGTATTCATAATAGAAGGTTGGAGAAAACCGGATGTCCATTGGCAGATGGGCAAGAAATAAGAGATTTCTGAACGCCCAAAGCACAGGCCACAGCAGCAGAAATAGGTGGGCGGGGCCGCCTCGAAGTGCGCGCAGCAAGGGGGCGCCCGCAGACCGAGGCGGTGAGCCGCAGGCGGGCGGAGAGCGTGCGCACACCGCGCATGCGCCGGGCCGGGTCCCAGGTGCGCGGCGGCTGCGCAGCGAACGCAGCCGGGTTAGAAGATGAACAGAGGACCCGAACAGACATGTCTCGGAAGCAGCCGTCCAGGCGGCCCACAGACGCAGGAAAAGAGCTCAACGTCGTCACTCACCGTCAGGGAAACGCACATCAAACCACCATGAGATGCGACCTCACACCTGTCAGGATGGAGAAAGCCAACAACACAGGCA